ACAATGTTCAGATTGTTAACGATTTTTTATCATAAAATTATCACATCATACTTAAGTATGGATAAAAAAATAATTTGGATAACTCTTGACCAAATTTTTATTTAAATTTTGGTTAAATACATACCTAAATTACACAATTTTTATCACAAGCTATCCAAATTTTGGTCAAAAGTTACTCATATTACACATTTTTTTATTAAACGTTACCCAAATTTTGTTTAAGAGCTATCAAAATTATTTTTTATCTATATTTAGCTATTACATGACAAGTTTATGATAAAAAATCGTTAGCAATTCAGATATTGTTTGCTTAAAGGACCATATAGAAACATATTCAATACTTTAGGGACTAACATGATGTAATTGAAACATTGATAACTAAAATGAGACAAATCTCAAATTTTGGGGACCTCTAGTGCAATTAACCCTTTTTTTCAAAAAAAAGTAGCAATAATCTCTCTAAAAATACTCTTATAATATCAAATTTTAAATATTAATCATATACTTTTACTATTTTAAATAATAATTTATTTTTGAAATAACATAATTTAAAATTAAAGTTAGCATATAAAAAATAAGATAGAGACGGGAGAGAGAAGAAAGATATAAAGTATGGATTAATAAGATTGAGTCTGTAAATTTGAATTAGTTGATATTAGGAATCATACAGGAAAAATGATATTTTATACAATTAAATTAAAGTAAATAAAATTAAATTAATTTTGACTTTTGTTATTCTTTTATAAATAGATAATTTAATTTCCTAACTGTAATATTAGATAGATGTTGTTTGTACATTATAGTTATTGGTCGATAGCGGATCTCGACCGACAGTGAAATCTACTATCAATTCGAGAGTCATTAAGTTAACAAATTAAATTCAAATAAAATTACATCTTTTAAATATAAAACAAGAAACAAAAATGACCACCACAATTTTCAATATCAAAAGACTCTGAAACCAAGTTAATAAATTATGGTCGACTAATTCTCAATATAAGCTCGAAAGTGACGTGAGTCACTAATATGATTAATAAATAATTTATAATAATATCAAATATGAATAATTTAATTCTAACCACTATAGAAGTTTTTTATTTGATTGTATAAATAATTAGATCGAGTGAAATTTTAATTTATAGAACGTTAGTTTCATTGAGGCATATGGGGTTTTTAAATAAAATCTATATTAAATTACTTATTTAGTAATTGGATTGTGTTTGGTTGATAATAATAACGGACAAAATTGAGTTAAAATTAATGAATATTAAAACGTAGTGTTATCCAACTCAAATATAAGCATGGCCCATCTCACTCTCTCTCTCTTGTCCAACGACCAACTTGGGAGTATCTCGAATTAAGTATAAAGACAATTTTGTAACAAAATTATCTAAATATGACGTTTTTGAATTAATTTATTAAACTACGATACTTTTAAAAAATGAGATCATTGATCCCACTTTTTATCTTTAGTCGGACAAGAATATTCAGTGTTTCAATCAAATATAAAAGTAGGATGTTAAGCCCAATGAATTTATTCTTAAAAACAGTTACAATCCCGCTTTTTTAAAAGTGTCGTAGTTAACTAAATTAGTTCAAAAATGGCATATTTAGATAAATTTGTTTCAAACTACGATAAATTGATAATTAATTCCTAGTATCTCCTTCGTTCTTCCACAAAATGGGAATTTTGATAGAAAAGTAATATTATTTAGATCTAAAAAACTTAGATATTTTATTGATCTAATAATGTGGTTTTATTTGAACTATTGGATTAACTTCAAGTTTCAACATTTAATGAGACTCTCAATCAATCCAATTGTTATAATTAATTAAGTTAACAAATGATGTCAATAATTTAAATCTCAATATCATTGCTTTCGATAGAAACTTGAATTAAAATTCGATTTCAATATCTTAAAAAATTTATTTTCCCAACTCATGAATTTGTTGAAAACCAAAAACTAGGCCCGATTGTATTTGGATCAAATTCATCAAATAAACATTAGGATTAAATTAAATCATATTATATTTGAATATTAGCTCAATTTCATCAAATAACTGGTCACTTATATTATATTTTTATGGGTTAATTGCATTAGAGGTGATAATGCACAAATTGGGTTTGTACATCACCTGTCAGATGAGCAGTAATAAATGCAGTAGTAAAGTAGAGAGATATAGAGACATAAGGAAGACAAGGATTTATAGTGGTTCAGTCAACGTAATTTACATCCACTTTAAATGGTTGGGGTCGTGGGGGTATTCTATTACTTCAAGGTGTATAGTGAAAGCAAGGAGATGCAACCTAATAAAGAAAGAAAGATGGGAGAGATGTGCTCGACTGAGTGTATTGCCCCTCAAGTGTTAGTAGGGCTTACAATTTATAATCGCCTCATAACAAATTGGTGTGAGTTATCAGTAACTAAGTGACTAATATGGTGGAACTGACGACCTCTTCTCAACAGGCGAGACAGTTATAGTGCTCTCCATAAGATGTGGTCAAAGAATAATGTGAGGGTTGACCTTTTCTAAGGCGGCGTGCATAAGGCTGCTAAAGATCCTACTTATTCCCTTGGTGACCTTGATCGAGTGTGGACCCCTTTGGGCTGGATACTGGATCTTTATAAGTTTGAACTCTTAATTAAGACTGGGCTTTTAACATGAGTTGAGTCATTTGGGTTTGGTCCATCAAGAGATCTTCAAAATATGGAGTTTATTTCATTTTGATCTCCAATATTTTAATTATATTATTTTTGTCTCTGAAATAATGAATATATTTCTATGTGGTCCATTAAACAAACAATATTCAAATTACTAACGATTTATGATCATAAATTTGACACATCATACCTAAATATGAAAAATAAAATTAAAAATTTGGGTAGTCAAATCAAATCGGGTTAGGGTAAAAAACTTCAAACCTGACAAGCCCGGATTTAACTGGGTCAAGNGAAGATGTGGTCAAAGGATAATGTGAGGGTTGACCCTTTCTAAGGCGGCGTGCATAAGGCTGCTAAAGATCCTACTTATTCCCTTGGTGACCCTGACCGAGTGTGGACCCTTTTAGGCTGGATACTAGATCTTTATAAGTTTGAACTCTTAATTAAGACTGGGCTTTTAACATGAGTTGAGTCATTTGGGTTTGGTCCATCAAGAGATCTTCAAAATATGGAGTTTATTTTATTTTGATCTCTAATATTTTAATTATATTATTTTTGTCTCTGAAATAATGAATATATTTCTATGTGGTCCATTAAACAAACAATATTCAAATTACTAACGGTTTATGATCATAAATTTGACACATCATACCTAAATATGAAAAATAAAATTAAAAATTTGGGTAGTCAAATCAAATCGGGTTAGGGTAAAAAACTTCAAACCTGACAAGCCCGGATTTAACTGGGTCAAGTTTAATAAATCAAGCGATCCCAGATCAGCTAAAAGGATCCTCCAAGCCCAACTCATTGGTTTGACCCAATATATAATTCAAGGAGTCTAAGAAAATTAGAGCACGTGGAGAGCAATCATCGAAATACTAACTCTCAAAAATCAATGCAATCTTTAATTGTATTTACATTTTGTAGATTCCCAAAGAACTAATATATTTGCCCTCAAGTGACCGCCTTAATTAAGACTCTGTGCATATAAAATGTAAGCTCTCTCCATTGAAAGAGATATATCTCTACAGCTCTCTACACAGCCCTCACATAATNTCAATTAAGACTCTGTGCATATAAAATGTAAGCTCTCTCCATTGAAAGAGATATATCTCTACACCTCTCTACACAGCCCCCACATAACTTTTCTCTCTCCTAGTTATTGTACCCCTCCTGGAGCTAACAATTGTTCTTTCTCACTCTCTCTCGTTCACCTTACTTCATTAATAAAGGTTCTCCGCCCATTATTGTCGTTTTCCAAAGTAGAGAAGGTCACTCGGAACGAACCACTATATATTTGGGTATTGACCCAATATTTACCTTATTGTCATTGACTGTTTTATTAATGATCGATTCTAGATATCTAAATCGTCTATTCGTTGGTATTTCTTGATTTTTAATCTTAACTTTTGCACTACATCTACTTTTTTTTATTACTAAAATTGTATTGCATGTATTCGATGTTACTCCTACTTATTTTAAACAATTTTTGACTGGAGCGTCTCTCTCCAAATTTTTAGTTTATTGTTAATTTTCCTTCGAGTTTCATCTACTAAGGTAATATTATTTATAAATAGCATACACTCTGAGACATCATCTTGAATGTGCCTAGTGAATTCATTCATAATTAAGATAAATAAGTATGAATTTAGGACTGATCTTTAGTGTAATCCAATTATGATTGAAAAATTTTTGCTTTCTCCCACAGACGATCTAATTATAGTTATAGTCCTGTCATATATGTTATTTTATCACCTCAACGTACCTATTTGTCACTCATTTTCTCTCGAGCACTTTCCATATTATATTTATAAACATTTTATCATACGCCTTTTCAAGATTTATAAACACCATATAAAGATTTTTATTCTTCTCTTTATATTTTTTTTACGAGTGTCTTTAATAAATATATAACCTCCATAATTGATCAATTAGTCATAATCTCTAATTGATTTTTAAAAATTGTAGTCTCAGCAATATTACACATACACTGTGGTAAGGATGTTAATTGATCCAAACTTTACGAGTTTGAGTGCAAACCTGACGAACTTATTTTTCTAAATAAGTTTAAAAAATTGTTTAATTTCGACTCAAAATTCAAGTTGAGACCGAGTAACTCGACATTTTTATATATAAACAAGTAAAATTTTGCAAACTTGAGTGAAGCTAAATATTTTTTTTTTTTTAAAATGAGTTTAAAAAATTGTTCAAGTTTAATTTGTTTAACATTCGAATCGAACCCGAGCCGAATTTTATTCGAATCGACCCAAAATAATACCCGACTAGATTTTCTCAATTAACACCCTTACACCGTCGACAATCAACATATGACGTCCACAAACCTTTCATCTTCGTCGTCACAACGTAAACCCAAATCCCCACAAATTCCCAAAGGGGCCTAACCGTAGCTCTAATCTCTCACCTATGCATATGGAACAAGAATCTGAAACAAGCACCAGCCAAAACGACGACATCGGCGACCATTTCTTCAACTCCTCCGATGATTTCCCCTTCTACGATTGCATCGACGCCTCCGATGATTTACCCTTCTACGATTGCATTGACGCAACCACCACAAACGACTCATTGGACTCCGAATCTGACGTGTCACTCAACCCCAATTTCCGACCAACGCCGGGAAATCCATCTCTGGCAAATCTCCGTCGTCGCCGACGCCTCTCGCAACGCAGCAAAGGAATTCAGGGCAGTGGCGGGAATGACCCATCAGACTCCGATTCTTCGGTAATTTTGAAAAGTACTCTGTATTTTGGAGGGAGAAAGTTCAGATTTTCCCAGAGTTTAAAGGAAAGTGAAAATTTGGAGGAAAATCAGACTGGTGATTCGAAGGATCCAAGCACTAATTCTTCCGTAAATGTTGCAGATCGCGAGGTGAATGAATTGAATACTTCTTCTGTCGATATTAATTCTAGAGAGATAAAGTACGGATTTTCACGGATTTTGAAAGAAAATGAGAAGGAAAGTGAAAATTCGGATTCAATTAAGCCAAATAAAGAAAATAAAGAAAAGTCTACACTTACGACGGCGAATAAGGAAAGAATTGATGGATCTATTTCAGTTGAGTCGCGTTCAGCTGAAACCGTTGATACTTCATCGAACTTTCTAATTTTTGTGGCTAATTTAGTGATCAAAGCAGTTGGGTTTCAAATAATTTTATTATTTAGTTTCTTTGCGGTTCCAATATGGTTATTGTATTGCTCATATCAGTTTGTGATGGATCCTTTTTGGGCCGTAAGGAGTGTTAAACAGTATGTGATTGGGAAACTCTTGAGAATATCGGGTTTACGATGCAATTGTGTTTCGCCGATTGTATATAAATGGTTGAAAAAGTATAAATCAATCTGGAAGTTGGTTTTAAGGCTTGGTTGGGGATTCCTGTGGTCAGTTTATGTGTGTGTTGTTTTGGTTGGTTTGCTAATGTCAGCATTCGTGTCAAGTGGGTTTGTGATGAGGTATTTAGTGGAAGAGCCGATTCAGATGAAGGAGAATTTGAATTTTGATTATACAAAGAACAGTCCCGTTGCTTTTGTGCCAATATCAGATTATTTGGGTGTGAATTGTGGTGTGAATGGTGGAGAAAAGGTTGGAATTGGGAAGGTTGAGGGTTCGCAGGTGATACCGCCTGATCATAAACTGCAGGTATCTATTTCATTGACATTACCGGAGTCAGACTACAACAGAAAGCTTGGGATGTTCCAGGTATGTTGTTTATGTTATTGAAGCTGGATCAAAATTTGTTTGGTTTGAAAGTGCAGCAATAATTTTCTTATCAGGATAATTCATGTTAAGAGTTCATAGGTGAAATATCAAGAATTTATACTAGTCATGTCCTCCCTTACAAGTAAAACATCGTTTGTGCTGATAATTTTTCTATTTGTGCAATTCAGTAAATTATTCAGTTTGTAAAGGTTATTAACTTCCTGATGTGTCTGGTATTCCCGAACACTTGAACTACTCTGCATCATAGGAAGTTGATGTTGGGAAGCCTTATATCCTTGTAAGTTGTAAAATATTGTCTTGTTGCTTCAAGACTTGATAAAACACAGTTCTTTTCAAAAATTTGGAGAAAAGATGACTTGCAGCTGACATAAGTAGACAGCAGATGGCTGAAAATCTTCAAATAACATATGAAACGTGACACTTCCCAAAAGAATTTTGTGATGGGTGTTCTTATATACTGATTTTTGGTGTCAAACACTTTCGTTATCAGGAATGGTTTGGCAAATGTGTCACAGTACTACTTATGAGGTAGGCTTGTTTCCATGATTGTCGAAGCTTTTTCTGGAATCTGTTTGCAATTCGCCAATATTTTTTGTGCTAAAGAAAAGAGTGGTTTCTCATGGATGATATCTAGTGGACCCTTTATCAGAATGCATTACACCGATGTAAACACCTACAGCACTTGTGCATAGAAATTACTAGGCACAATGGGGAAATAGGATTCATACAAGTATATAACTAACCTTAAAACTGTTGGGACAAGACTTTGTTGAGTTTACTAGAGTTAAGTTGCGTTGTGTTGAGGCCAAGTCATGTTCTCAAGATGGCATGGCCATGGGAGGGTTTCTGCCAATGTCGAAGTTGGCAGAGAAGAATGCATATTTACAAGATTCCCTGGGTTTCTTGGTTCTCGATGGTTTCCAAATGCTGAACTTTACGCTTTAAAATTTTATAAGTCACCAATGGTTTGTTTTTTCACTTGGAGAGATAATTGTGAAATTTTATGAATGATGAAAGTTTATGGGACTTATTACTTTGTGTTTTTCTTTGAAGGTCCGGATAGACTTGCTCTCTACTGATGGCAAAGCCCTTGCAAGTTCAAGGCATCCATGCTTGTTGCAATTCAAAAGCCAGCCGATTCACCTTCTCTTGACTTTCCTAAAGATCACTTCTCTTGTCACTGGTTATTCATCAGAATCCCAAACAGTGAGTGTGAAGGTTAACTTAAGAGGTCATGAGCCCACTGCCTGCTTGAGGGTGACCATGGAACAAAGAGCAGAATTTCAGAGTGGTGCTGGTATCCCTGAGATATATGATGCATCTCTAACAGTTGAGTCGGAACCTCCCCTGCTAAAAAGGGTTTTATGGTATTGGAAGAAATCGATATTTATATGGATTAGCTTGATGGTGCTTTCAATGGAACTGTTCTTTACTCTACTCTGCTGCAAAGCTATGATCATGCCAAAGGTAAGGTTGAGGGATGTTTCTCCTAGCACTGGCACTCCAGTTCAAAGATAGCCCGCTCTGCTGTATATATGGTTTGGTACTACAACTTTGCTGTATCAGTTGTCCTCATTGTCATTCTTAGCATGTTTAAAGAAATATTCCTGCTAGTTTAAACGTAGTTCAATGGAGGGATCATTTAAAATCAGATTTCATACGTAAGAAACCGAATTGATACAACTGAAAACTGATGAACCAAAATGACACAACCGTGGACTGCTAGTGTAGTCAACCCTAATGTCTAGTAGAGAAACAAAGCTGGATCCAGCAGCAAAACACACACACACACACACACACACACAGAGATGCAAAGAACAGTAAACTTCGACCTTATGGGTATAATTCCAGTGGTAACAATGATGAGTTATAAAAATAAATGTTCAGAGTTCAAATTTTGGTAATTCATTATAGTTAAGTCACGAGGGATAAAAATGGATTTTATTTTTCATGATTATCATAGTCTCAGTGAATGATTTATTTTTGATCATATTGGAAAGAGGATTAGTCAAGGTACGCTTAAGTTAGCTTGGACATTTTGAAAAAAACAAAAAAGAACAGCAAGCATCATTGCCAAGAAACATCGAATAGTTGAATACCAAATGTGGTCCATCCATGTAATGTTGTTTTGATGATATTTCACTCTTTGTTGAGTAGGCTTAAGACGCTACATGCATAATTCAAAAACAGAACAAGGGACAGAAAAGTTGTAATAGGGAGTTTTTGGCAAAGCTCCTACTCTACTTATGGATTGACTTTCCATCCAAGGGGTGGATACCCTCCTGTTCTTAGCATACGATTCGACTACTTGAGAACCAACTGCAAAACAAATAGGAGTATACCCAAAATGTCAGATGATAATGCTGGAAGACTCGGAGCTAAACCCTCTGTGCTGTCTATGACATGTTCTCCTCCCGTCTATTAAGCTCTTGCGATGTATGCTCCATGGGAAACGAGTAATGACGTATCAAGGTGTACTCCGATCACCATACTGCCTATGTATTTCATACTTCCATTCTAGAAAGCTTAAAAGTAATTCTTGCAAATAAAGACTTGGGACTCTTCTTGATTGAATGAGCATCGTTGCATTGAGCATTCAACATTGTAATCCTCAATGTACCTTTCATATGTTGGAGACTCGATCAGCATGGCTGTGAATAGTCAACCATCGCTCTGTAAAATTGGATAGGTTTGATTTCAAGGGACATAAAGGTACGTTGACTTTACATTTCAGCTATCCAGCTATCTTGACCTATTTCAAAATTCCTATTGTGCACAGAAATATCCTGTTAGATATTTTTGTTCCGGAGGTGGGATGCAGAATGGATGCCAGAAAGAGACACTTATAACATCATCGGACGATTATGACTAGGTCACTTACGAATCAAAACCATACCTTGATCCTCTCAGACAGCAACCAACTTTAACCTTCGACAACAAATGGTGACATGCATATATATAGCTAGAAACCGCCAAAAAATATTGCTAGGAACATTACTAAGGTTTTAAAGAGATCAATGTAACATCTGCATGTGAAAGCCAAGTTTTCCATAACTTATCCTCAACCAAACACCAGCTTTAAGCCATCAACTTATCAGTAAAGCCATTGCAGCAAATCTACCACCTGATCAAAGTATCCGGCAAGATTGACAATCACCTAAAATCATACAATCCAGTGTCAATACATATATCAGTTTACTTCTCGGACCAGTTGTAGATACCAACCACTTAAACCCTGCCTTCTCCAAAACCATGAAACTTTAGAAACTGAGAATCCTTTCTCAGCACTCTAAATTAAATTGTTCCCTGGGAAACATTTCAATGAATTAACATCTATGCCTGAGAAAAAATGAAAAAAAAAAAAAATAGTATTTACTCCCTCCACGATATAAGTTATCCGTGAAGACTAGTGTTATCTATTTATAAAGAGAAGTACATATATCACTAAAATGGCAGTTATTAACAATCCTGCAGAATATATCCTGTTTTCTTCCTTTATTTTTTTCTCTTTTTTAATTTCACCATAAAAGAAGAAAGATTAAGTGGAAGTAAATGGCGACAACAGATAAATCTCAACCTTTAAAAGAATGTTCAAAAGGAACTCTCAAATAAATTTCCTAAACTTGTAAGTTATGGATCAATTAATACTGTAATTTTTTTCTTTTGATAAGCAACGACAAGTTTACACTACAAGGGAATCGAACCTTCAACTTGCAACTCCATTGTGGAAGGCCTTAACCATCCAGTTAGGAGCTTAGTCCTGATCAATTATTATTGTAAATGCCACATCTGTTGCAGCAAAAGTCACACAACCCAATATTAGGGATTGGATCCCTCTTGTTCAAGTTACATTGTATATTTACAGAGATTGAAGCTCTTTGATTATTCTTGAATGAGAACTATTTACAAACAAGGTGCCAAATTACTGCAAAATGCTCCAACATGGTGCAAGTAAATGTCATGCTCTTTGTCTTAGTGTTTCTGATTCATTTTTAAAGATCACAATATCTCTATAAGCAGCTTTTAAAAAAAGGACTGCAACTTTGTAGGTTTCCAATAAAAGGTACACGTCAAAATCTGATTTGGTTTACTTGGACTATACCCTATATGTACTCTGCTCATATTGTAGCATAAGACCCTCTCGAACCTAATCAAACTCAATTAACATCATAATAATCCTGAAATCCCATAATATCACCAAATTTAGCTCAATGAATTTGCATCATAGTTCATAAGCTCAATTAGCATGAGTTAACATTCAATGAGTTCCAATCCACGGATGCAAGACACCAAAACATGAAATAAACAATACTGAAATTGCAGAAAGAATTCATGAAAATCATATCATCCATTCACAATCGATCAAAACACAAACTCTCAACAAGCAAAAGAAAAACCTTAGCTTTGTCCCAAATTACAAGAAAAGACCTGAAATGGTAATCGCCAGGCCTCGGACTTGGAAAAGCACATGTCATCGAGAACTTGGCTCCGGCACCACCGGCAATTGGGGCTGTGGAAGCACTGAGACTTCGACGCTATTTCGCTGCAGTCTGGACGTTGATTGTTGTTACTCTGAACTGATAACAGATTCCGATCTGAACCATCATTTGAAGAAATTGTTTGAAAGTTACCGGAAACCACAGCGTAAGACGGTCTGTAGTGAAAGGTTCCGAGGATGATGAGAAGTAGAAGGAAGAAAAAGGAGAACCTGAATGCAGTGGCAATGGCCATTGTAGCATAAGAGAGAGAGAGGAGAGAGAGAGAGAATATGCAAGTGCTGTAAGCTTTCCATTTCAGTATTTTTAATGGCTTTGTGGGGGTAAAAAAGGAAACTTTTAAGAGTCCCACTCAATTAGGGTAGTTCCTGAACCATACCATAGCTCCGGCAACAATAAAAAAACTGCAAACTCGTTAGGATACCGAAAATTTGCCCATATGCGACACATTGTATAGACATTGGGTCGGGTGAGCATGCGGACGCTCCAATGGAATGGACCAGCTAATATACCCCTAATAAAAACATACTATAGATAGAAGTAGGGATGACAGTGGATCGAAAAAAAATGAATATTTGTTCAAATTTATTCTGTTTGGACCGGGAATAGACTATATATATTGGACGATGGACGTATACGGAGATACCCGTATAAACTTGTACTGGGATGAACTTACCCTTACCCTCTCCCCGCCCCCGCTACCCATTAAATATATATTTATATATAAATAAAAATACTCTCAAGCCCTAACTAAACATATTTACTGTAACTATCAATCTAGAAATATGGTAATCAAACTAAAAAATAACATTGTTATGTGGTAATCTTTTCAACTTTTTTTCCTGATTGTTCTTTTTTGTATTTGTGCTCACTGATTGAAATTATTAGGAGTTTGGATTGACCATGCTCTAAAAACAGATAAGAGAGAATAAAATAGTTTTGTATTTTATCGTGGGTAGAAATATTATGAATGAAGATTGCTGAGTTTTATCTGCTATAGTGAAGTAAGAAATGAGGAGAATCATTAAATTAGCGAAATTATAAATTTCATCTTTTAACATTTTATGACTGTAATATGAACTGTAATAACAAAAATTCTTCAAGAAAACTTCAAGTGTAGTGTTATCGTTTTTTTAATTCAATTTTATTTTCTCTTTCTTCCTTTTTCTCTAATAGTTTCATTTCTCTTTTTGTGGTCTAATGACACTTTAAATAGAATACTAAATTGTTTTAACTTTTACATTTTATAATCTACATTATGTTGTATTAGACTATGTTAGAATGTTGTTGAATTATTTAAAATATTAAATTTATTTAGAATTTTAGATTATGATCATTGGGCTTGGGCTTGTATGGGAGAAGCAGGAACAGGGACGGAGATTAAAAATTTACCCACGGACAGGAATGGGAAAGAAAACTATACTCGTTAACAGGAGTGGACGGAGGATGAACGAACTTTTTTTAAGTGGATATGAGAATGAAGATTTCACTTTTTGTCCCGCATCGGTCCATTGACATCCCTAGATAAAAACTTCATGTAACTTGGAACAAGTTTTTAGGATTTTGACATATTTCAATAAATGATAGGACTATCAGTGTGTCACATTCTTTTGTATTTTTCCGTGCAATGCACGGGTTCTATTGGTTAGGATAAAAAATATTTAAGATAAAATATACGGACACCATATGAGGTTTGACAATATTTTACGAACACATGCTGATGTTTCAAAATTAACATGAGCTCCCCTTGTCATTTGAATTTGCTTCACATAGACCCTTTCTGTCTAAATCCGTTAAGAAAATTAACGGAATACATGATGTCAGTTGACGATGCACAAAAATAATTATGCACCACTTATCGAGTAATTAATATAAGTAATAGATGCAGTACATATAAAGGTGAGATCAGCACAGGTGACACACAAATATTTAGTGGTTCGATTAGGATGACTTACTCCACTTTGAAGGCGACGACGGTGGCGGGAGAACTTTATTAATAAAGTAGAAGGTGTGTGAGAGAAAAATAGAGTAAGGGTAAGCTATAGATAGCTATGACAGAAATAGCTGTGTAAAATATGTATAGAGATGTCTCTTCATGTGCAAAGTAAATGTTTGGTTTACTAGAATATGTATTTGGTGTATTATATTACAATTATAACTTATTGGTGAAAATGATTAGTGTAATTGTGTTGTTGTAATATTGATATAAATAAAGAGAGAAAATAAAAAGAGATAATAACTGTCAGAGAAAATAGAAGAGAGGAAGAGATAGAGAAAAAATAGAGGAGAAAGTTCAAAAAATAAAATCAAATATTTACATATTTGAAAAAAAAAAATTATCAATAAGAAATAGAAAGAGAAAATAGATGAGAAATAGAAAATAAATAGGGGTGAGGGAGTCAAAAAATAAAAATNGTGTGTCACATTCTTTTGTATTTTTCCGTGCAATGCACGGGTTCTATTGGTTAGGACAAAAAATATTTAAGATAAAATATACGGACACCATATGAGGTTTGACAATATTTTACGAACACATGCTGATGTTTCAAAATTCACATGAGCTCCCCTTGTCATTTGAATTTGCTTCACATAGACCCTTTCTGTCTAAATCCGTTAAGAAAATTAACGGAATACATGATGTCAGTTGATGATGCACAAAAATAGTTATGCACTACTTATCGAGTAATTAATATAAGTAATAGATGCAGTACATATAAAGGTGAGATCAGCACAGGTGACACACAAATATTTAGTGGTTCGATTAGGATGACCTACTCCACTTTGAAGGCGACGACGATGGCGGGAGAACTTTATTAATAAAGTAGAAGGTGTGTGAGAGAAAGATAGAGTAAGGGTAAGCTATAGATAGCTATGACAGAAATAGCTGTGTAAAATATGTATAGAGATGTCTCTTCATGTGCAAAGTAAATGTTTGGTTTACTAGAATATGTATTTGGTGTATTATATTACAATTATAACTTATTGGTGAAAATGATTAGTGTAATTGTATTGTTGTAATGTTGATATAAATAAAGAGAGAAAATAACAAGAGATAATAACTGTGAGAGAAAATAGAAGAGAGGAAGAGATAGAGAAAAAATAGAGGAGAAAGTTTATAAAATTAAATCAAATATTTACATTTTTGAAGAAAAAAAAATTATCAATAAGAAATAGAAAGAAAAAATAGATGAGAAATAGAAAATAAATAGGGGTGAGGGAGTCAAAAAATAAAAATTATGTATAATTTAAAAAAAAGTAAATAAATAAAAAAAATTTAAATGACATATAAATTTTATATTTAATCACAAAATACCTTATTAAAATTAAATTTAATAAAATATTAATTCATACACTCCATCTCAAATAAATCTTAAATAAATATATTCACGCCGCAAAAAACTCAAAAAAAAAAAAAAAAACTAATTAGACATATATAAATCAACCATTGACCACGTTCATTGATTTTCTTGCGATTACAAACAATCTGTGAAACAGATGCCTAATCGATGGAGGGATATGATTCTAACTTGAAATCTGAAGCTGAAGGAGAAATCGAGCAGTTGGATTCTAGGGTTTCGACTCTATCAATAAGCGACGATACCAGAGACCCGAATTTGAACAATCAGTTGGTAATTTCTGTTCAATTACTTGTTTTTATTTGAGTTTTTTTTTCAAGTAATCGCTTGATAGATTCAAAATTTTGATATAATTTGATGTAAATTATGTTTATTGTTTGCATTTGTATATGCTGATTTACATCTACAGAAACCCTTGTTTTCCACACAAAAAACGTCATAAAAACACGAAGACATACTAGGGAGATATCAAATTCTATGACATATTAATGTTAGGATGGAATTGGAGCTGCTTCCAGTAGGATGATAACATAAGGATTGTTTCTGTGATTTCTAGATTGTTGAAATCACGAAATTATGGATATAGCAGTGTAGGGTCACCATTTTGACTATATTTTGAGTTTTAAGTAGTAAAAGTATTACGCAGATAATGGTGAGGTTGATGTTCTGGGTTCAAATCAGAGCGCAGCAACTAACGGTCAGAACTTATGTCTATACTTGGTCCATCTCTCCTAGCACCCTCTCTCAGGTATTGGAGACCAAATGGGGTTGTAAAAGCAAATTGAAAATAGCATAATTAAGCCTGAAAAGGTGTAGAGGCATATGATTTAACATTAAAGTCACTGAGTGTTCACTCCACATTCTCAATTTCCACTAGAAATTCTCGAATTTTGAATCACAGCACCATTGATTCCAATTGTCTATTAGAATAACAACCCCCCCCCCCCCAAAAAAAAAAATGTCCAGAGAGCCATTCTTCACATGTCCCTAATATCTGTTATGCATGTTATTTTTTGGGAATGAATGGTTTCTCTTTTTCTGTATTTCTCATGAATTTATTTACTAAAGTACTATAGATATGCAATGCACATGGGGAAGAAATGTAAGGATGATATTTGGGATGCCAAATATCTTCTGTAGGTATCCTTTGAAGGGTAACACGATAATTGTTATGGAAATATATTTACATCGGATGGGGGAATGCTGCTCTTTAATATTTTGTCACTCATACCAAAATATACATGGAGGGAGAAACTTCTGCAGGGAACTTTTCGTGTTTGCTGATCCACTCCCCTACAATTGCCTCTATCATCATTATTTTTGTGACCATGAAAATCATAATCTTCCTTTTTTAACAGAGTTTCGGTACCATAGTTAACCATGCAATTCAGCAAAATGCTTTTGACTTTCCTGTTCTCTGAAAACAGAAAACAAGTGCTTGAGCAAAGCTTTAAAGGCCAATTTTAGCATTTTATTTGGTGATTGAATGCTCCCTCCCTCCCGCCTCTCCCCCCTCCCTACTCCTTGTCATCAGGTTTTGGTCCTTGCTGTTGTATTTCCATCAGTCAATTTTAATCTAATATTTCTTCTAGGAGTTAGATTTTGCAAATCATTAACTGGATAGCTAGAATTGTATGTTTTTGAAGCCAGATAATTAAGTTATGGATTTATAAAAACATTTTTCATGATTTGTCTGCTTTAATTTGATATCAGGATCATGGGGCGCTTGAGAAACAAAGGAAACACAATGATGTAAAAGCAATGGTTAGTTCCTTCAGCAAACAAATGGCTCATTTTGAAGAACATGGTCCTGAATTGCCTCAACAAGCAAGTGATGAGATTGGTGAGAAGAGAGATTGTGTGATCCGTGATACCATATTATTACCACAGAACATGGGAGAAAAGAATGATGAAAATAGTGTTTTCGAGAGTCAACAAATGGTTAGAGGTGTAGAAAGTAACTATTATTTACATCATCACACTGAGGAAAATGATAAGAAGAGAGGTTTCATGAGTCAAAACGTTGTTAAAAGTGAAGAGTGTGATACTGAATTATTGCCTCAAGACAAAAGGGAGCCATATGACGAGAATGGTGGCTTTGTGGGCGAACAAATGGCTAAGCCTGAAGAGTACGACACTCAATTACTTCAAGGCGTAAGTGAAGAAAATAATGACAGAGGAGGTCTCATGACCCCTCAAATGACAAAAACTGAAGAACATAGTTCTGAATTACCTCAACACACAGAGGAGGACATGAATGAGAAGATAGAATCAGATACCTGCCATCAGAAACAAGGAAAATACTTCTATTATGACTCACCACTCTATGAAGAAACTGGGGTTTGGATACCTGTTTCTGTTCCTCCTATGTCTGAAAGTGAGCATGAAGAATGGGCTAGAGGTTTCTGCTCAAATGGAGGGTACTTCCCTCTAGGAGACATGGGGTGGAGTCGGGAAGATAAAGAACTAACCATGTGGGATGTGGTAGCCGAACTGTTACTTGTGGCTCGTGGAAAAGTGAATGATTTTGCTTCGGGTGATATTGGTAAAATTTCATGGATATCTGGCCAGCTAATGGAGCAAGCTTGGAAAGAGATGGCTCAAACTCTCACTGAGGCCAATTTTGGTAACACTCGTGAATTACTCGAAGCTGAGCCACCTAAATGGTTGCCTGATAGTGCAGCTTCTGCTTGTATGTTGTGTAGTGTGCGATTCCACCCTATTATTTGCACGAGGCATCACTGTCGTTTTTGTGGAGGAATTTTTTGCAGTGAGTGTACTAAAGGAAGGAGCTTGTTGCCAGAAAAATTTCGTGTTGCAGACCCACTACGAGTCTGTGATGTATGTTGTGTGCGTCTTGAGTCTGTCCAGCCATATTTAATGGATCAAGTAAGCCATGCTGCTCAGATGCCAACCCATGATCTGACTGATTTGAGCACTTTAAGATCCTGGGTAAATTTTCCGTGGGGCCAATCCATGGAATATGAGATTTACAAAGCCGCAAACACCATTCGGGGTTATGAAACGGTAGGATTTTTGTCATATTGGACTGTAAGCCATGTATTTATATTTTAGCATTTCCTATTCGAATTAAAAATGAGGTTTGATAAGTAAAAGTTTCTCTCGCAACAAAAAACCGTCCAGAGTTTGAATTTGTGGATAAAACATTATTACATCTTTGGTTGTTCCTCTGTCCTGTTTGGATACTTACAGTATGTTGCACAGCTTATGGCTTTTGAAGGAGACTAAACTTGTGGATATTTTGCTTCATTTAAGTGAATAATTATCTCAAATGTATGCTGCTGGTAAATTTATTGTTTTTAATCCACGAAGTTCTCATGTGATTCTTGACTTTGTGCATGTAAATGCTCAGGTTGGTAGACTGAGACCTGAAAAGTCAATTCCAGATACTATCCTCCGACAAGCAAAAGGCCTTGCAATCCTCACTGTAGTAAAAGTCGGGATGATGGTTACGTACAATATTGGAACTGGATTGGTGATTGCTCGTAGAGAGGACGGCTCCTGGTCTCCGCCCTCCGCCATTTCTTCTTTTGGCGTGGGATGGGGAGCTCAGGTGAAGTAATTCATTTTCCAAGGAGAGCCTTTCTTGTGATGAATATTATCTTTATTTACTCAAACTCATATCTTGAAGTAAATGTGGAGGATATAAGAGTAGTTACAATAACATTTTTTTTAATCTGGTGGTATACTTTGTCTTGTGACCCAAATAGCAAAGTTGAGTTTTCAACGTCTCCTTGTATCTATACACTATTTGGAATCTCCACCAGCCTCAGGCCTCGGTGGGGGCCCCTTGGGATGACTGAATGTTTTTTCCTTAAATAACAGCAATTCAATGTGGACTGCCTAACTTAAATTATGAAACTTTACATATGTTCAACTTTCTAGTGACTTGCGCACTTTGTGCAATTTGATCATAAGGTGTTGAAGTGCAATATTTTTGTTGGACAGAATCGAAAATTTGTTATTATTTTCTTTTTCTGCTTTTATTAAATATTGTTCTTTGCAGGCTGGAGGAGAACTGACAGACTTTATAATTATTTTGAGAACTCATGATGCTATCAAGACCTTTAGTGGTGATATGCATCTCTCTATTGGAGCTGGTTTGAGCGCAGCTATTGGCATTGTTGGACGGACAGCTGAAGCTGATGTACGAGCTGGTACTGGTGGCTATGGTGCTTGTTATACGTATAGCTGCAGTAAAGGTACCTAGTTATGCCATTAAAACAGAATGTTTTTGGTGTCTTGAACTAGTGAACATACCAGTCTTGTGGGCCTGGTAGGTGGCTTTTCCCTCTAATCTTAACGCCATATGCTTAGGTCGTCCCTGTTGCCAAGTCAAAAAAGAGACAGTATGGTTAAAAAAAGAGAAGAGGATAGAAAAGGAATCGAGGATTTTTATAGCCTACCACCTTACCTAAGATGACCTCAATTAATCCCCCTATATTGTCTTAATCTGGAAGGTGTACTACTGGACACTTCATTTTCCTTTTGCCTTTCCCTCATTCTGCTTCCTTGTTTTTGTGTGAGACATAATTGAAAATGATGCAAGATTGCCTAAAAGCATAATAAGCCTCCCACTCTATTGGTTTTTGTAGATTTTTCTTATATTTGAAATGCGTCGTTTTGTTGATATATGATGCAAATTGTGTATAAAGTTTACCATAAAAAAATAAGTTGAAATCGGAATCAGAATGGCTACATAAATCAAATAGAGGATATAAAAAATGATTTTTGATGTTGAGAAAAGTTTGAAGTAACATGCTGATGTTTGAGGAAGATGAATGAATTGCCTGTATAATCAAAACTCAAAAGTTCGAGCTACTTAAGTGTTTGAAATCTATAAACTCTTTAATGTCCATTATTGGAATGTCTGTGGATGGAACCTCAAGTTTATGCATTGTTTTGAAGGTGAGGTGCAAATCGGAGTGGCATGCATTAAGGGAAGGCCTTTCATTTTTCAAATTATTATAAAGTTATGCCAACAGAGTAGTAAATATTGAAAACAGATGATAACAAAATGATCTGGTTTTATATGAACATCTTTTCTGTTGTTTTATTGTGTCTTTCAAACAGTGGTTCTGTCTCACCTACTCCATATTTACTTTGCATACCATTCTTTTTAGTTGCTACAAACCTATAGGTCAATCATTCTTTACAATGTGATAATTTTTGGTGCTTCATTTCTTATCAGTTTTGTTTAATGTAAATGTTGTTTTGGATGCAGGTGCATTCGTTGGATGTTCACTAGAAGGGAGTATTGTCACAACCCGTGCAAGGGAAAACTCCCGGTTCTATGGCAGCCAATCAATAAATGCATCAGATATTCTTCGTGGCTCATTGCCTAGGCCACCCGCAGCTGCCATCCTCTATCGTGCACTAGCAGATCTATATCAGAAGATTAAAACATGATCCAACGATTCAAATACACGTTACTCTACAAGTTATCCAGAATGAAGGAAGTCACCTGTGGACACATTGTCAGGAGGCATTCTCATGAAGGATCCCTGTTAGTATCTGAAATATTTCTTACGAATTACTGTACAGGCAATGTCATTGAAAATGTGTTCACGTTATTTCTTCATGTAAATATTTTGATATAAAAACTGTTGTGCAGCATTTCGTTTGATTGCATTAGGTAAAAGTGCAAAGTGCGAATGGAATGATTAATGGTTCCAAGCTCTTCATTTCCATCTACCCTTACATGTCAACTCTGCTCTGGACACTTTCATTTCCAGACAACTCAATTTAACAGAATCTTAAAAAGAAATTTGAATCCATTATATATATTTTTTTTTTGGTCAGAGAAAACAGGAGAGGGGTAACTATTAGATAGTAACTCCTTTGGGCGTGACACCATGAGGTGAGGATCTTCTCATTGTGGAATGTTCGATTTGAGCCGTAGTTATTAATTTTGGAAGAACAGCCCGTCACCACATTACCACCAAAGTCAAGTAAAAAATTGCATTACTCTCGTGAATTGAATTTTGTTTGATAATCACATGTAAGTGAGAGTCAGGAAGAATTCTGAATGGGTAGAGCTTACCATTAGACTACCAACTAGGATGGTAAAATTGATTGTATGAATCACTTTTTTTCTTTATTATTTGTCACGAGTCAAGTTATTTTTTCTATTAGACGATAATCGATCATACCTTTCTGTTAAGTTACGTTTTTTAATCGTCAACAGGAGAGGAGTGACATGCAGTAATAATTTGCATTTTGACATTGAAAGTTAAATCCCGAAGCAATATTGTGCGTTAAATTATGGTTGTGGAATAATCTGAATTGGCTGATGAGTACATTCTCCAATGGATCTTCTGAGACACAATTGGTAGTAAAGATTTGTGGGAGCCATTGCATCAGTTTTTACTCTCCTGTTTCTACCCTAGTCACGTACCTCTATTGGCTTCGCGTGGCCTCCTCCCCCACCCCCGCCCCCAACCACCACCACCACCACCAACAACAACAGCAACACCGACACATCCCTCTTCTCCTTTCTTTTATTCACTTCCTACAAAACAGGGGCTTGACCTCCTCCTCCTCCCCCGCCACTACCTACACCACCACTGACACCGACACATCCCTCTTCCCCTCTCTTTTAATCACTTCCCACCATATCAAGGTTCCTCAACTCCTTGCGCAGTCTGAACAATATTGGGCCACAAAAAATGGAACAATATTTGAACTCATCCGACTTGCCAACTTCCATCCCAATTAAGGAACGTTAGTGAGAAAACATGAAGTACAAATAGGGAACCACATATAATTCATAGTAAGGACATCAAAACATGAGCAATGAGAGAAACATTCGTGGGTGACCAGAAACACAAACCCACAGCTGATCTTGGCATCCAAAAATTCATTTCAATTTCCCAAAAAAAAAAAAAAACCACGCAATCAATATTCGTTCTCCGTGCTGCAATGGAAAATTTTGAGGGAAAATGAAAAAAACCTCAAGAAAATAAAAGAAAACATTCCTGAAAAAAGGTGCCAAAAAAAAAAACACCACATGGACTATTTATAATTTTACTGTGTATTTAAAAAAAAAAAACTGAAAGAAAGAGCAAACCCTATACTGGGTTTTAAACTTCGCTGGGATTTGCCACCCAGACCAACTCAAATTCAGAAGTATCAACACAGTAAGAAGTCAATAGTTGAAGTCGCACAATGGAAAGATGTGAACCAAATAGATAATATATGGTTGTTTTTCTCTCCTTACTTCTTGTCTCTCTATCTGCAATACGAAAACATATTATTAGTAGCAACACCAACATTTACCATGATCTAACTATGATGCATACATTTGGCAACAAAACTATACCCACTTACCTTGTGCTAGGGTTCCCGAGAGTAAGCTCAAGATCATCGGAGACACATTCTTCATGAATCCGCTCTCCTTCCCATGGCGTCACTAGCCCCTTGGTGTTATTGCCAAATGCAAACTCAGCTGAAATCACATCTGGCATTGGAACATCAGCTGTTGGGTCAAAACCAGCTGCAACTGCTGGAGAGCATGTCCCGCTTTGCCCAGGAGTCCACATCCGAGACCCTGCAGCTGATAACGCCTCCTTGAAGGCAAAGGGGTTTGATGAGACAAGGCTGAATGTAGGAGATGATGGCCCATCCTGGGGAGTTTGAGCACCAGAAAGCCACACTGAATCAGGCGGGGTCTGAGGACCAGGACTTGGTGGGGTGGAAGAAGGTAGGAAGGCATAGTGCTGCCTGGCCCAGGCTGGGCCAACAGTTGGATCATCCCAATTACTTTTCATTCTGGGAGTTCGGGCAGTAGGAGAGCTCAATGGCGGGGTAACAGGAGCACTTATAGAACCTTCAGCTATGTAGAGATGGTGGGGAAGCTTGGAGGAAGGCGGTGATGAGCCAGATGACAGGTTTTTAAGCCATGGAATGAGGGAATTAGGATCAGCATTATTATTGGAATTGACAGCATAATGGGATGAGATTGGACTAGGAAAGGACGATGTTGTGGGGCTTGGGTTGTAAGATGCACATGGACTTGGCTGATATGATGAGCATGGGCTGGCTGATGCTGAACCACCCATAATATCAGTACGTTCCACTGGTTTGCATCCCTGCAGAAAATAAATATGATGAGCAACAATCAAAACAAAAATACTAAATTAATCAAGCCATATGGGCCTCATGATTAATCAGAATAGCTTACAGTCTGGACATTTTCCTTCTTATACTGGCCACTGTTAATCTGTTATTAGTAGGATTCAACTAGATCGAAACATAACACTTGGTTCATTGCAATACAAAACTCTCAGACTCAATATGCACTCTTAAAACTCTTTAATTGTTCATAAGACCTTGGGTTTTTGAGTGGCAAAAGTAATTGGTTCTAAAGAATGGCCCTTAGTAAATCATAAACCACAACGTACTAACCACTTTATTACTGGACAATAGTTCTGCTAATGTATAACTCAATTATGAAGAATATGAAACATTCATGAAACTAATCCCCAGGTACTGGCTTCATACATACGAAGTATGGGACAAGAATGAAATTGTTAGCTCAATTCTGCCTTGAACTTCGTTGGATAGATTAATAAAATAATATCCCATCAATATAAGCAGAAAAGGCAGAGAAGAGGATTTAAGCTCACTTCCACCAATGCACAAGCATTTACACATTGAAGCTAAAAGTCGATATAGAGCCATCTTATTGCTGACAGGCCAAGGTCCCCCTTGTGTAAACCATTTGAATCGGGCTCTGTGAAGGTCAAGCAAACTCATGCTTTGCAGCTTTCCTCTAGTTCATTAAAACTTTGCCAATCAACATAAATAAAAAGGGATCCCACAATCTAATGGATCCCACAAAAGGAAATCAACCATAATAAAAGGAGGAATTGAGTATTTGGTCACTTTTTCTTTTCTTATTGTTAGAGATTAGGAATGATTACAAATTACTTTATAATATAGGAGTTGCACACCCGGAGAGAGGGAATAGGAGACTCATATCACAACCATGGATCATGATGTTCCCCATGGTAACACCACTAGGCCATCACAAATCTTCCCAATTATTTGGACCATATAAGGATCCACATAATTTGTTTAGATTCACATGACCAAAAGCATGAAACCAACAAACCATTTTTGTCAGCAATACCAGGTAAGATCCATCAGGAACTGCATCTCAATCCATCAAACACTGATGTGCCATGATCCGCAACATCCACTACTTTGCAGAAGGTTATCATACTGTGAGAAAACAGTAATCCAGATACTTTTCATCACAAATAATGTTCAGCACTTTTGGAGGCCCACATGGAAGCCACCCTGAATACCAAAATCTAAACTTCTGAATCTCTGATGCATAATGCAACAACAGCAGGGTTCTAGTGTGGAAAGCCTAAAATCATCAATTCTGACAAAAAATGTAGATGTGTATAACTCTAGTTCTCCGCTAACACCCCTCCAATGAAAATATTCCCTATCTCACACTACCCCTTCAACTATGATGGTTTATCATCGAACCCACATTGCCCCCTCAACTATCATATTCCTCAGGTTGCATCACCAACTATGTTTAGGACATTAAAAACACATATTGTACATGTAGACATTTTCCATCCCAAACATGACGAAAGTTTTGATATTTGGGTGAATGAATAACCAATTCAAGTAGTTGATAGGGACAAAGTGAGACTATGGTCATAGTTAAGGGGGCCAAAATACAATTTACTAAAAAAAAATACTTATTGTCAACTATAGCCTACACAAAACTTTTAAAAAGGAAGCTAATAATGTCAACCATGATTATATTGCTCCCCACGACAAGTTACCTCCCCTACCAATTAGCTACAGCTTCCTCATTCAATTCATTGAATTTCAAAATTAAGCCCACACGTTCTACGGCATAAAAAAAAAACGTTAAAAAGTTGGGGAATCCAAAGATTTGATATCATACTTTCTCTTTCTTCTATGCTTTAACCATACAAAAAACACTAACAAAAACCCAATAGAAAACAGCAAGGGCCCACACTCCATGCTTCACTACAAAGCCCCAAAAAATAATTTTTGTAATTTTATAATATTGCTTTATTATTGTCATAATTATAAATAACTTATAATTACAATTATTTTAGGTATAATACCCAAAAAAAAATTATTATTGGGATAAGTATACAGAACCTCAACAAAAATATAAATATCACTTGCATATTGAAATTAATCTTTTTTTTTTTTGGTCGGTATATCAAAACTAATCAAGAATTGTTGATCTTGGTTTGATGTATAATCATTGATCTTAAAAATAAATAAGTAATATAATAAGATAATAAAATAAAAGTTATAAAAAATTAATTATTAAAAAGTGAAGGTATTATGCTAAAAAATTATTCTTGGGTGCCATAACCAGACCTTAATCTCCTCTCTCTCTCTCTCTCACACACGCGCACTTCCGAGATAGTAAGAAAGGAGATGAATTAGTACTTCAAATGACAAAACTAGCCCTATAGAATTACAAATGTACAAGCTCCGGTGGGGGTTAGGGGAAGAGAATTGTGGAAATGATGAGAGGCAATGTTGTCTATTGGACAATCTCCCGCGTTGTGGTTCAGTTTAGTTTCTCTCGGACTGTGGATTGCTATTTACACGTGCAGAGAGAATCTTGTTGTGTTTCGTGCGTTCAATAGAAAATCACAGTCCCACTGATCTATCGTACGCCGGGAGGACAAAAGACTCAGCCGATCTGAACCGTCAACTCAGCATGAAGATGCTCTCACCAGAGACGATCGCGCATGTTTACTTTTCAATACCTACAGTTCACACCTCTGATTCGTTCTCCTGCTAACATACGCCAAATGCATCGCGCACGTTATCAAACAGCGCAACACAAACGAGAGGGGACTTTCTCAGTGCTGCAAATCAAAAGCTTATCTATGCAAATCTTCCTAGCGATAGCATACGCCAGATGTACCCAGCGCACTTTAGCATATTGGAGTTTGATAAAATCATAAAACTATGAATCCACAGCTATCCTTAATATCACCTACTTTTCTATTTATTTTCGAAGGAAACAAATCAAATACCAAAAAATGAAAAAGGATTACAGATCCATTATCGCCGTCTCAATTTCTCTACCCCATACCCAACTCGTTGCTAAACGACGCACTTCAAACCAGCGAACAAAATCGAGAGAGAGAGAGAGAGAGAGAGAGAGAGAGAGAGAATTGGTGAATTGAGCGGTTCTTACCTTTCTATAGGTAGTACCATCTTCTTCAACAATCCACCCAGCTTCGTTACACAAAGCCTTCAAGACCTCGTTGTTGTCACAGTGCTTGGGCAACTTATAGTTACCGTACATCCTCAGTCCAGCGAAGATCTTCGCGCCGATCGCTCGTCGCCGCCTCTCCCTCCGCTTGTTGTTCTCTCTCTCCTTCCATGTCGGAAGCCTCGTCCCAGACGTCATACCGAAACAAAAAACTACGCCGTTTTGGGGGGTTGCTCAGTCGGAAAATCGAAGAACCGGGTTTGGATTCGACGAGCCGGTGGCGTATTGATTGGTAGTGAACCGGTGGTGGACCGAGTTGACCGATGTACGAGTTGAATCAATGAGGGGTTTAGTGTCGGGGAAGTTGAGCTAAATATGGGTGTGGGTTGAGTTTGCCCATGGATGAAGAGTAAATTACGAGAGTGCCATTTCGCGGTTTTTTCCACTCCTGTAAATGTGGGGGGTGGCGCACGTGTTTAGTCTTTTCAAATGGAGAAGAGAGGAGGGGACACGCTAGGAAATAATTTGGAAAGGGGGAATAAGGACTTTTTTTTTTGTAACTAGCAATACATCGCATGAGTGTGCGAATGATTTTTGTATACAAAAATTAGTAAAATGTATTACATATATTTGTATTTAAAATAAATATTATTTCAAATTTATTAAATTTAATTTTTATTATTCATATTTTATTATAAAATTATGAAAAAATGTATGTTTTTAAAATTCTTTATTCTAACTATATAAAAAAAGAAATAGTTAAAATTCTATCTTTTTAAAATTTTGTGATTGAAATTAATTTTTTAGTGATGTATAAGAAATTAAATTTTTTGAAATTTATTTAATTAGGATTCTACTTATAATTCTTTAAATAAAATAAAAGTAATTGTCAATATATTAATCACATTAGAACCTTACTGTAATTAGGAATTAGTTAGGTCAATTAGGATAAGATTTAATATGTTACTAATTATTGTCTGTGCCTGAAAACACATAATAATAATAAAAAAATGATCAATAATAAATATATTTGTATACACACCCAAAATTAAATCACAAACATAGAGAAAAGAGAGAAAAATTTAAGTACTGTTTGTAGTGAGAGTGAGAGGTGGTGAGCGACAGTATTGGTGGTAGGAGATGATAATGGTTGTGATCGGTGACAACAACCATAATGGTGGTGTCAACTGTGGGTGATTGCAATAATGGTGGTAATAACAACTATGAGTGACGGTAGTGGTAGTGATGGGTGTGAGTGGTGGTGGACAACGGTGATGATTGTTGCTAGTTGTAGTCGTAGAGTGACGACGGTGGTTGTGGCGGTGGTAGGTAGTAGTGGTGATAGTGGTGGTGGGTGACGACAGATGTTTCTGGACGACAGTGTGATGGGGTGATAATGAATAGCGGTGGTGGTAAGTGTGGTGGGAGTGAGTGATAATGGCTAATGACGATGGTGGACGACGACGGGTGGTGGTGGACAACAACGCTAGTAGTAAGATGATGGTGGTAGTGATAATAGATATAAGAATGAGATGACGATGATAGTGGGTGGGTGGCGACGATAGTGGTGATGGTGGGGNGGGTGGTGGTGGACAACAACGCTAGTAGTAAGATGATGGTGGTAGTGATAATAGATATAAGAATGAGATGACGATGATAGTGGGTGGGTGGCGACGATAGTGGTGATGGTGGGGTAATGGGGGTGGTGGTGGTGGTAGGGGTGGGGGTGGTAGGTGGTGATGGTGGGACGACAACAATGATGGTAGGGTGACAGCAACGATGGTGGTGATGGTGATGGTGGGAGTGCAGTAGTAAGGATGTCGGTGGTAGTAGTAGGGATGGTGGTGGTAGTGGGAGTGGGTGTAGTAAGGATGGTGGTGGTGGGTCGTAAGGTGACAGTAATAGGGACTGTGGCGATGGTGGTGGTGATAGCGACAGTTGTGATGGTGAGGCGATGGTAGTTGTCGTGGCAAAGACAATGATAATGGTGGTGGTAGGATGGTAGCAGCGGTGGGTGTGATGGTGATTGTAAAAATGATGGTGGTGGTAGTGGAGGTAAAGTGGCGATGGTGGTGGTAATGATGATGGTGGTAGTGCTGATGGTGATAGTGGTGGTGGTGAGGCGATTCTAAACACTACTTTTTTTTTTTAAAGTAGTTATAAGAAGTTATAAGTTTTATAATCACTTTTAAAAAGTCACCCCCAAACACAAATTTAGGGAGCTATTTTTTCTATTAAATTTGAGGTATTAATATTACCCGTCGGATTAACTTTAAAGTGAAATTTAAAGAGATCTCAATCGTAAAAAACAAAAGTCATTTTGTTTATCTTTTGAAATTTGAATTGTATTTTACTTTATTATATAAATATTATCAAGCACATTAAAATTTTTAAAAAATTCAAATTTTACTTAAAAATACAATACAATATTTATTTTTTCATAAAATCTTAATTCAACTTAAAAAGTTTATTGTAACTATAGAATTATATTGATATAACATAAATTGATTTATAAAAACAAACTGTATAGACGATTATTTTTTATTTTAGAATTGAAAGAGTTAAACTTTTTAATGAAAATAAAATACACATATGTAAACGTAATGTTATCGTTGTTAAGATAAGTAATATTATATTGATGAAATTTTTGAATAGTTTATTGAAAATATAATAACGTATTTTTTTAAGGGTAATATAGTCAATCAATTTTTTTCATAAAAATTGATACATAGAGAATGGACAGTTAAAAGAAATGTTATAGATAATTTAGAGATTTAAATATATAATGATATAATGATAATTTATATATTTAATTGTAAAAAAATCGAATGTTTTTTGCAATCCTTTATAAGAGTAAAATAGATATTCAAAAAAATTTTAAATTAATGTATTTTTATTAGTAGTATAGATATGAATATAGATAGATATAATACGTTTGGTGTGATTAAATTACACTTTCACCCTTCCATTTAGGATCATCCGCAATCGGTCTCTTGTAGTTTCATTTCCATTAAATGAGCCCCCCCTAAAGTTTAAGGTTGTTCAAATTATCTAATGGGCATATCGACATTTCAATATCACTTTGGTACCCTTTAGTCTTTCATGTCGTATATTTCNTGAGCCCCCCCTAAAGTTTAAGGTTGTTCAAATTATCTAATGGGCATATCGACATTTCAATATCACTTTGGTACCCTTTAGTCTTTCATGTCGTATATTTCGTATTGTAGACACATAAAGAGAAGCATATCTTTATATGTTCATGCGATAGAACATACAAGTAAAACGAGAATGAAAAATATATCTTATTTACTTTCGATGTATATGTACGGTGATCGCAATATTGGAGAGAGTAGCTAAGTGTTTTAGGGTTTGTGTTGGTTGTGACTGTGCAATTGAGAAAAATTAAGTGATTGCAATGTGCTCGTTTGGGGAACTAGTCATGGAGAGGGGATTTTATGTTAAGAAATGATAGATAATTGTAAATTTTTGGATAAGTATTGGAGCATGTGATATTCATGTGATCAATTTTCCTCACATTTGATGATCAACAGTTGAGGAGAAGGATTAATTCAAACTTTGATGAAATATATGTTGTAATTGAAACAATTTGGGGTTAATTGCAAGTAACACCTATATGGAAGGGGAAAAAGTATAATAGTTTACCCTTTTTTCCTGTAAAGGTGAGGGTAATAAGGCTGGGAATGCCAAAGAAAGAACCAGGTCATGCTATGATTAGGCTTGCAAGGCTAAATGAGAACATTTGACTTTTGGTCCATTTCTTTTTCTTATGTTTTTGGGGACTAATGTGATTGAAAACGCATTTAATAATACTATTCCACATTTTTTTGGACTTAAATATGGTACCGATGATAAAATTTTGGTACTATCCCTCTAACTTTAATTATTTAATAGGTATTTTTATAAATTTTGTAAATCATTTTATAACTAAAAAATTTATTATTTTTGTGGGTGATTTATCACTTTTGTTGCTATTTTTTTATCATTATTGTTGATATTTTTATTACGTTTGTAGTAACTATTTTTACTATTTTTTGCAAAAAGAAAATTATCATTTTTGTGAGTGATTTTATCACATTTATCGATATTTTTACAACTGTTATAGATGTTTTTATCAAAGTTGTGGTAATTATTTTTACCATTTTTTTGATACCATAAAAATGATCAAAGTATTCATAAATGTGGTAGAAATTGATGGGTCAATCCAAGGGCTCAATTCAAATTATGAGCCCAGTTTAAATAAAGAGCCCAAATGAAACTCAATAAGTCCAACTCAAAGGAGGCCCACCCCCAATTTGGCTCATTTAGATTCAAGAAGCTACATCACCAATGAGTAAGCAGCGCCATTTCAAGAGTCTTAACCACGCTACCTTAGAAAAAATCAACCACGTCATCCTTTGGCTTGATCTTAAAGGGAGCTACGTAACTATCAGTCGTTGAGAGAATAACGCCAGCTCCATAAATTAGTTACTTAGTTATTAAAAATGCGCCTCAGTCTGTTAAGAGACACTATAAATTGTAAGTCCCGCTAATATATGGGGGACATCAAACATATCGGCTGTCACTCTCATCTCTCTCTCTCATAGCTTGTACCTCCATTGCTCTCTCCTAATCCTCTTTTGCTCCCCAAAGTAATAAAACACCATGTCATCCTAATCTTTCATAGTGGAGTAGGTCACGTTGACCGAACCACTATACATCTTTATCTTACTTGCGTTACTTTCTTTCTTTTTAATTACTGCATTAACTACTAATTACTCAACAGTTGGTACATAATATCAATTTATGCATCATCAAAAACAATCACAAATATGATAAATGAAGGAATGATAACCATAAAAAAAAAGTCAACTCCCACTTTTTTGTCATTCCACCCCAGAATCAAGTTTTCCAAGGTTTTTTATATCCAAATAAATTTTGGAAAAAAAAAACATTGTTTTACCATTAAACCAAAATTTATCTCTTAATTAATTTTTTTAATCAAATTAACTTGAAGTTCTATGGATTTGCATTGTATAGGTAAAGAATTTTAACTATTATTTTATTCTTTCTAAAATTTCAAAATTTTCAAGTTTCATCGTATATTTGGTTTTATAATAATTTTACTTTTTTATGAGATTAATTGTTGGTCTAATGATCACCACCACTACTCTTAAACCGTAAAGTGTTGAGTTCAAACTTCATCCATCACCGTGGGTGTGTTTTCACCCAATTATAAGAATCCAGTTTTTTTGTGAGGCTACATTAGGAATGTGAAAGGAGTAAACCCTTTTGCATTTTGATATGTTCAGACTCCATTCAAATTGAGTTGAGTAAG